AATTAATCCTTTTTAATTTCAAATCAACCCTTTTTAACTTTAAATTAACCTTATATTAGGTTAAAACTTAGGAGATGATACGAAAACATATAAATTAAAATTGCTGTTTATTTGGGAATTTTTCTTAAATATAAAATTATTTAGCTCTTAGAAGACCATATGAGAATTATTTACAATTAAAATTAAAAATTATATACAATTCAATTTTAAAATAAAGGGTTTTCTTTTAATTTCAGAATTTTTTAATACAAAATGGATTGTAAAATAAAATACCACATGTATTGTAATCAAAATTAAAAGTTATATAACATAAATATAAAAACATGTAAATATTCTATTAATTAAAAAATAGACCAATTTTTTAACGTAAAAACCACTCGAATTAATGAAAATATATTTTTATATAACTTTTAATTTAATTGCAACTAATATTTTTTTAACTCAGATTTAGAAAACAATTCATCCAGAATGTTTTGTTTGTTTCTTAAATATACAGTAATTTTACTTCACACATCTTCTAAGTTTTTCAATGCTTTCAAGAAAGAGTAAATTTGAAAGTACAAAGGTTCATATAAAATTAAGAGGTAAAAAAGGTTTATTTAAAATTAAATATTTAACTATTTAAAGCAACTATCAAAAAAAAAGGTGTATCACCCCGAAGATTTCAAAAGGATCTCTCACAAATACAATATAGTTTAAGCTTGCACCATGAACATGAGAAAGGGTGAAATGTACCAACATTGAAGAAGGCGAGATGAACGAACGAGATAGAACAAGACTGCTAATAAACGGACCTGTACGAACTAAAACGTCCTAACTGTACCTTTCATTATCTTTCCTTATTTCTATCTTTTTTTTTATATTTCTAGCGCCATCACAAACACTTTATATCCCTTATGGGATTTGTACAATTGTTTTGCTCTTTGAAAGCTAAAATCAATTTACCGAATTAATTGTTAAAGGCTTAATTGTATTTCGAAAAACCAAAACCTAGTGACTACCAATCATTATTGCTACACCATATCGACAATTCATAAGGGTTCAAGCCTTCCAGGCATCATCAGTCAGATGAACTGGAGACTAATGCGATTTTCAATAGATTAGCTTATCAACGATGATGCCAGTTTTACCAGTCACGACTTAATTAATCTCAAGACCTACAAGGGCGACGACGTTGGACGATAAAGATATACCAATGATTTTTCTCTTGTCCTTTTTTTTTTTTGTAATTTGGAGGCCGAGTTCTGAGACTAAAATCGATGTAGGTGCTAATTGGCTGTTGATCCAAAAAGCGTTAACAGTGGGCGGATGACGACAATTCGAAACGTTCTTTAGTCAGATGTACTACTCCTGCCTATCAAATCTTAGTAATAGATGATTAGTAATAGCGAACAAATTGTTTTGTTCAGTATACAAGTCATTTTCATCAAGGAAGTACTCACATCTGGCTGAAGATAAATCTGTATCGTTTGGCCTTTCAGAAACACCGTATCAGAGGGTATTGGGCTAACGTTTCAGAAAATTGCTGTCCTAAGAGGTGTCCCCATTTTCCGACACCGTTTTTCTTTTAAAATGTCCTGGTTTTGATTTGAATATATATTCTACGGAAAGCAAAAATTGAAATTAAATATTTTAAAGAATCAGACAGAGCCTACTAGCTGTTGTTCCTTCCAACTTGTGAATGTTTTTCAGTTTTGAAGGAAATGCTTGTAGAGAAATAATGTTGTGGATAATCATTCGTTCATGCCATCCTTCTGTGTTATAATTTGGTTTGAAAAATCAGAGATGATGCCAATTTGAAATAAAACACTTCTCCAATTTAACCCGGCGTACTAAAAGGGAACATTTTTGGTTTTCTGAATATCAACTGCCGTTTTGCTCGATTTGCTGAGGTTTAGTACTCGGATGAAGAAGTGCAATTCGGCATTTCGACCGAAACGCGTTTGACCGACCTATCCACGGAGTATAACGAGACGAATATAAAAGGACCAGACAACAAAGTAGTTATTATTTGTTCGTTTCTGATCACCTGAGTCCGTGTATCCTCGCTGATTTTAATCTGTCTTCACACTAACCCAACACCCAAGGCAATACATGTCTGGCAGATCAAACTAGCCAGGATAGGAAGACAGGATAGTCAAGAAGAACCAACATCAAATTAAATATAATTTGGTCGTTTCTGATCTTCCTGGTCCGTCTATCCTCGCTGTTTTTTGCCTGTCTTCACATACCCCAAACACTAAAGATGGCGAAATACCGAAAAACATTTGACCGAAGTACCACTGAGCATGGAAATCAGGAAGATCAAAATGGACCAAACAACATTAAATATGACTTGGTCGTTTTGAGCATTCTGCTTCACCCATCTTCGCTGAGTTTTGTGCGTTCCAATGCTAACCCAACACTGACGATGACGAAATGCCGAAACGCATTTGACCGAAGTACCAACGAGTATAGGCAGACAGGAAGATCAAAAAGGCCAAACAAATTAATAGTTTGGTCGTGTCTGATCATCGTGGTCCGTCTATCCTCGCTGTCTATGCTTTGTCTACGCCCAACCCAAACACTCAAGACGGAGAATTACCTACTTGTTTGGCCGACCTACTCACTAACTATAGGAAGACAGGATGTTCAAAAAGGACAAATTAAATATAGTTTGGTCCTTTGTTATCATACTGTCTGGTTATCATCGCTGTGCAGGTAGGCCAAACACGTTTCGGCATTTCGCCCTCTTCAGTGTGGTTGTGTGAAGACAGCCTTATCCAAGGATAGCCAGATTTTTATGATCAGCTTTTGAGAGGACCTTCCATCGATCACTATTTTAAGGGATTGAAAATGGGTAGTCTTTCTAAACTGGACAAAATTGAATTTGTAATTTATTGTTATTCTATTTAATTTTAACCGATTTCTTGTTAGACAGATAAAACAAAATAGAAAATACAAACCAAAGAGAAACAAATGTTAATCCTCATTTTTAATAAAGAATTTACTTAAGAATAGTAAACATGGGGGTCCGGGACTGCAACGGTTTAGGCGATGACACGGCGCTCATTAATGTAAGGTAAAGGTCCCGAGTTCAAATCCAGCAGCCCTGCATTCGAACCCAACATACTTACAAATGCGCTTTTTTTTAAATAGTAAACATGAAGATTACTCATTTTGTAAGTAAAAACCTTTTCTCAATTTTAATCGAGTTGTATTCTCTTTAAACATGGAAAGACATATTGAACCAGAAGTTCGCACTATTATTGTGAGAATGAGTCATCGAGGGGTTACCGGCAACTGGATATCGCAGTGGCAGTTGGCGTTGCTAAGAGCGTGGACTCCCTTAGCCCGTTTCCGACAGACTTGAAGTTCCAATAGGTCAGATAGTGGACAGATATTGTCTTTGCTGCAAGACAGAACCCTTTCCATAGTGCCCGTTAGATCCTAAATGAAGTACGAGGTGTCTTGACGTATGCCCCTTTTTGAGTACCTGCGCAACTTATGAGAATATGGTGCAGCGAGCGCCTAGAAGAGGACACTAATTGAAATGCTGTTATTTTATTGATGTCGCGTTTCTGTCTGTATAGCGATAGCAGGCGCCGAATAGTCTTCCGAGAACATGGGATACGTGCAATGCCCCAGTTCATGTTCCCTTCAGTGCAGTTTGCAGGAAGTGATGAATGATCTAGTCTGGGATTTACTGGAGGACGAACCGGACTCCATAATGTTGAAGGCAACTTCACCGCAGTCCGTTCCATCCAGGAAATTACCCAGGGATCTCATTGGTTTTTTTCGATTTTTGGATGACACTTCTAGACCTTATTGAGGTCACTGTTTATCAAACCTGGAAATTTCCCATCTGTCCCTTCCCTCATTGTCTCCAGACCTTAATCCCATTGATCACATTTGGGATGGCGTTGCAGAAAAGTCTTTTAGATCGCAATCCGCATCCAGTTGACCTGCAACAACTGAGTGCAGCGTTGCAACATCTATGGAGTGAAAAATAGGTACACAAAGGTTTTAGCCAACAGAGGACATTATACATTGTATTAATTGTTTCTAAAAAAAAATATTATGCCCAATAAACAAAAGTATTGAATTAAGATCTTTTATTTTGTTATTTTTCAAAATCCCTTAATTAAATTTTCCTTCAGTAAAAAATATAATAATTTCTTATAAATTTTAATGCAGTTTATAGTTTTAAAAAAATGAAAATGCTGGGGAAAGTAAATACCACAAAATTAGCAATGTCCATATTCATTTTTGAGCAGTTTACATACATTTCTCCATTTCCTACCCTGATTATCAAGGATTTTAGTACATTCGGTTAGTTGTTCTAATCTTCTATTCAAATAATGTTTCTGAAGATTTGTGAGGTGATCCTATATCTTTTTTTTTGCCTAAGTCCCAAGTAAGTACGTTAATTCGGCATCATCATAGAGTGAAAAAAGATACAGATGAGGTTCTGTTTTTCAGTTTAAAACTTTGTCCACCTTGATTTGATATTTTTGGATGTTAAGAAGCTTTGATAGGATTTAAGCTAGACATATAGAATTGGGGTATCGCGTTTATCAGATCGTCAGTATAATGGGACCAAAAATGTACCCTTTTTGTACGCCGGCTTATATTGGCTTATGTCAAGTTTGATTCGGACACCAAATGAATGTTTGATTTTACCTATCCTCGCTATTTTAGAGGAACCCAGGGATTTTAGTACGTAACGGTATATTTTACTTTGTATTTTTTTTTCGTAAAGATTATTTAAAATAGTATACTTTTTCATCTTTTTTATATATATTTTTTAATTATGGTTCCATTGACATAAGTCTTATGGTGTCGCGACTTTTTTCAAGGGATTCGACGAACTGGGTCACGGAAGTACGTTTAGGGTAATTTATGAAAATGCATAAGTGCGGTTTCGAGGTGCCGGCCATATTGTCGTGGACGTAGTCGTAGTGGGGCCTGTTCTCATCCCCACTCACCTGTCCACAGGTGAAACGGAGTTTCTGCCGCGACCGCCTCCCTCCACCGACACCGAGCACTTCGGCCGGTCTGCCAGTCAGTCACAGCTCGCGAGCTTTTCCTCTTACGAGGGTCACGTCCTTCGTCCACTCGAAAAAAAGTTTATCTGTGCCCAAAACGCGATTATATCTCGGGGTGCCTGTGATTGACGTTTATTCCAATCTTTCCATCCTAGGAAAAGGTTCAAGGGTGTATACTCATCTGCAGGACTGTTTCGAACAAGCATAGGATATTTACAACGTATTCAACCTACAGGTGAGAACTTATTTTTTGATTTAAAGAACAACATCTTACATAAGCGCGGCTTTATTTTTTAGCAAAAAACATTCCTCATACCCAACCCATTAGTTGGTTTCCAATAAAACAAACATAGGCAGTTGGTTGCCATTCTATACCATAGCTGGTAAAGGCTGTAGCAGTTTTGAGATTTACATGTGGATGATGTTCCATATTAAATCTTCAACACTGCTGCAAGTACTTCACTAAGGTCATAAGAAACCATCCTTTTGTAAACATAAACATAAAATCTCCTTTTTTAATGTATTCAATTTGATGTAGTAGGAGGAGAGAACTGAGCTTGTCTATTTGTACGAAAAAAGTATTAATTTTTGTAAAAACAACGGGAAGAGGGGTTGTCAGTCCATTCACGACTACTTTCACATCCTCTATTTACTTGTGGTTTCACTAAGTATGCACAAGCGCTTAGGGTAAAAAAAGGCGCAGTTTTTTCTTTATTTTTTTTCCTGCTGGACGTCGGTTTTAATCAACTCCGCTCTCCTGACTTCAGCCGACCTTTTGTCGTGCAGGGTGGGAAATCATTTGTCGGTAAAGGCCGAAGGTTTTTCGAAGGATCCCCGACGGGACAAAAGCAGGGGCTGAACAGACACCGGCTATTATGTACCACTCGAGGTGAAACACGGAAAAATCCCACCGGCGACTCTGGCCATCCACCTTTGTCCGAAGACATCCTCGGATCAGGTGTTTACTCCTCCAACGCTGAAGAATGGGGTTACGCCCCACCCAGTCGTCAGTGAGGGTGAAGGGGACTTTCTCTCCCGGCGAACCGTCGTTTTATTTAAATCCGCATAAATGAACATCGGTTTTCCCAGTTAAACACAAACGAAAACTTTTCACGCAAGTTCGCCAATTTTCCCGAGGGTTAAGAATAAAACCATTTGACCTTTGTAAACAAAAAAACAAATATTTACCTCTTGCATGATGTTTTATATAACAAAGGTAAAAATGTATCCAAGAGGACGAAAAATCGTGTTCTCGGAATGTTTATCAGAGATCTTGTGTGGGGCCGAGTGTGGTACCTGAGGGGGGTACAGTCCGCTGAGAAAGTGGATCTACCTCGTGACCGAGGTTCTTTACGATTGCTATGCAGATTAGCCTTGTGTTTTACCTCCATTTGATCCGTGGATCGGACCCCCGGAGGACCACAACCCCAAAAACACGACCATTTCCATACGAATGTCTCCATTTGTGAAATTGGGAACACTGGTAGGGACCCTTTTTCGGACAGCGGCGGCGGTGTTTTTTTTCCACATGAGGAAGCCGTATTTCGTCTGATATGACCGTAATTTATAAAAAAAGAACTGCGGGTCCGAACGTTTAAAAATGTGTCTATTTTTAAAAATAGGCAGGGCATTAGTGAAGCGAGACGACCTAGCTAAAAGGTTCATCATCGTGCAAACCACATCTTAATATTTAGCAAATAGCTTTACTATGATATCCCTAAGCCCAAATTTGTTCATCACGGTCGTCAATAACTAATATCGTTATTCACAAAAAAAGTTATTACAAATGAAAAATGCAACAGTTACAAACTCATCTGTCTTTTTTGTCTACTAGTCTTGTAGTCTTTGAAGTTGTGTTTCTCATATTGGATTATAACGTATATCAGGTTGTTGGTATTTAAAAGAGACAGAAGTAATAAACCACTAAAGATGGCGAGAAAGTCGGTTAAAACCAGCGAGGAAACGCCATGGTTATATTTTTGGGTCTTTTTGGTTTATTTTGGAGATTTATTCGCAAATTCCCTCTTTACTGGGTTGCATCCTGCGTCCGAATGAAAAAATGTATAAATCGCTGATGGGACAAGGATGACAAATAAAATACAACGATGGTAAGGGCACCAGGAAACTATCAAGTTAGTCTTTTGGATCATTTCGGTGATTATTCAAAAAAACCTCTTTGCCAAGTTGCATCCTGCGTTTAAGGTTTTTTTAAGTTAGGTGTCCGATCATTCAGATCTGCCAGTTCTTTCTAGTTTTTTCCTGTCAGACGTATTTCTACATACGGATCGCTTAATATTGTAAAATGCTAAATGCGTTTGACAGATAAAAACCAGCGAGGGTAGGAGGACTAGGATGATTAAAAATTACGAAGCTAAAACATGATTTTCATGGTCTTTTTAGTTCATTTTGAGATTTCTTCACCGGCTCACTCTCTTTGATATGTTCCATCCTACATCTAGAATATTTGAAGTCAGTCCGTTCAGATTTTAAAAACTTACGAAGGCTACGCGATTGATAAAATACACAAATTGACAACTGAAAATGGCAAGAAGACCGTCCGACAGACCAAACCAGCGAGGATAGGCGGACCAGGAAGATAGAAAACTAGGAAACTAAAACATGATTTTCATTGGATTTTTGGTTCATTTTGGAGAATTTTCACCTTCTCTCTCTTTGCTATGTTCCATCCTGCATCTAGAATATTTGTAGTTAGTCCTACCCTTGAGATATGTCTATTCTTACTAGTTTTGCCCTGTGAAACTATTTCTTAATTTTATCATCATCAGGTGTTGGAAAAATTCATGGAATATCCTTAGGATATTCTACATATTCTATCCCTTTCGACCTTTCATATTTTACAAACTTGCGAAAGATACGCGGTTGATAAAATACACAAATTGCCAACTGAATGTGGCAAGAAGACCGTCTGACAGACCCAAACCAGCGAGGATAGGCGGACCAGGATGATTGAAAATTACGAAGCTAAAACTTGATTTTCATGGTCTTTTTGGTTCGGTTTGGAGATTAATTCTCCTTTTCTATGTTCCATTCAGCATCTAGAATATTTGAAGTCAGTCCTCCCCTTCAGATATGCCCATTCTCCCTTTCGACCTTTCAGATTTTATAAACGTACGAAGGATACGCGATTGATAAAATGCACAAATTGACAACTGAAAGTGGCAAGAAAACCGTCCGAGACCAAACCAGCGAAGATAGGCGGACCATGATTATCGGAAACTAAGAAGCTATAACATGCTATTTGGTTCATTTGAAGGTAGGCCCTGTGAGTAAAATAATGCATAAACGGATGCAGATGGCGGGAAAACGAAGGACTTTTGTCTGATAAAAATATTGAGGGTATGCGGACCTCAAGGATGATCCAAAACAACCAAGCCTATAAGCAATCCTCCAAAATATTTTTACTGGATCATTTTAGATTCTCCGGTTATGTCTTTCTTAAATCCCTAGCCTTTGAAGTTTGATCATTTTCGATTTTCCAGGTCTGCCAACCTTTCCGTTTTTGTCTTGAGATGTATGTCATCACTAGGCTATCTGCAGGGGTGGATGCCCTGACTTATTCTAACCCTTTTGTCCCTTTACTTTTACAAACTTCGAAAATTTCATGTTTGACATAATAACTCAAAGGCAGTTGAAGATGAGCATCTGACAGGTCAAACCGACGAGGATAAGCGGACCGGGATGATCGAAAACTACCAAACTGTATAACCACATCCTCCAAAATTAATTGGATCATTTTGGAAATTTATTCACCTCTTCACTCATTTGCTATCCTGCATCTAAAGGACAAAAATTAATGTATTTGAAGTTTGGTTTCCGACAGTTCAACTGTTCCCATCCTTTCTGGTTTTTCCCTGATTGACTTTTTAACATCTTCAGATATAGTAAAAACCCTGACTTATTCTAACCCTTTACTCCCTGCCGATTTTACATACCTATAAAGGATACGTGTATGAAAAAATGACCAAACCTGAACATGGTGAGAAGACACGAGCGTCCGAATGACCAAAACAGTGAGGATAGTCAGGCCAAAATGATCTGAAACGACCAAAATACATTTTCAAACATGAATAATTCAATATAAAATTTGAATTTAGTTTAAAAGAAAGCAATATTTGTACTATATTGTTTGTTCATAGTCGGTATCAGACGATGTTCAGGTGTGCTTTAAAATTATTTTACTTATTTGTCAGTTTTTTTCTGTACTCTGTTTGTTTGTTATTGTTCTTCTTTCAGTGTACAAGCTTTCGAATTATAAAACCTTTAGATATTTCATGATAATTTTATGAAAATTTACATAAATTAACTGTATTTGTGCACGTTTAACCATTTCAACGAATATGATGAAGTATTTCTCTATTTTTATTTATTTTTGTCTAATTAACATTCCGGTCTTTCAAAACAGAATCGATATCGGCATCTTGGGCTGAAGGTGTCGACAGCGGTGTGAAATCGAAAAGTTAATTTTGTCCGAGCCTAACGGTGTTTGTCTCGTTTCAGTTGTTGGCCATCGGCCTGTCATTACCGACGAATTCCGACGAAAGCTTAGCTCGACAAAAGTCATGGTGACTATCATACTCGTCCCAGGTTCAGATAATACTTCGAAATGTACGAAGGAAGATGATAAAATGAAAACGTATTATTTACGGTGTGGAGACAATTTATCTAAGACGTTTTTAGTTTGGCGGTCTCCGAGTTGCATATTTTAACTGGTTTGGTCGGTCGGAATTTTGTCAACCATGCACTTTTAGAAGGTTGAGAAATAAGAAGGGTCAAAAAAAGTCGGGATTTTTCCCGCTTCTGAAGATGGCAAAATGCTAAAACAAGTTAGAATGAAACAGACAGGGATGCCAAGAAACGAAAAAAAACTTCAAATGTAATAATCGTCCTCTTTAGCTGGGTACAAAACTACAAAAAGTTCAGGACGAATTGTCTAAAATATGCTCAAATAATTGATCAAAATATATAAAAATTTATGTTCTGGCATGGTTTCATCAGCAACCTTATCGTGTTATATAACATATTTTTATACGAAATCAAATAGCAGGCTTTTACATGGCTCATTACAGTAAAATTGTGAGATTATTATTCGGGTTTGCTAAGTGATGAACCTTCAATTTGGCCCTCTTGAAATCCGGCAAAGTACAGAAACTCTGAAGACCAAATAAACCAGACCATGAAGGCCAGGATGATCGTAAACGGCAAAAATAATAACAG